TCACTGTATACAGCAAAATACCACCAAAAAGGCGCAAAAGCCTCTGGCAAATGGGTTTATCCAGCACCTCCCATCATCCTGGTAAAGAAAATGTTTGATGTCTGGGCTGATGAGCAAAATGGAGTATCTGCAGTAACATGTTATTCATGAGTGAGCTTTTAGATGAGTTTATTGCATAGCAAGTGCAAATACCCATTATGGTTAATAAATCACTGTTGTTAGTATTTGCAGCTAGCAAACACACAGGAAGGGAAAATTTCAGACCACATCTGCTTCATACTGAGATGGGAGACACCTGAGATTTTCCTTCCATCTGAATGACTTCACCTTGCTTTTCTGGCATTTGAAAATAGCTATTCTTGTGCTGAATTCTCAGAGAAACTGCTCTCTGTTCTCAGTGAACCACAATCCCCCTTGAAATCCACCTCCCCGATGGCCAGCCTGGATTTCCTGCTGCTTCACCGGAGTGTCCTCGTGACAAGTACCTGGGTTTGTACCTTCTTTAGCCCCACAAAGTCATGGGAGCAAAGGAAAACAGCCACAATTTGTTCCTGGGCAGCTTAGCTGTAGACACCCATTTTACATCTTGCAGGGGAGGACCTTCAGATCCCACAACTGTGTTGTGTGTGTATCTGGAGATACGTCTTCTCCTTCACTCGCGTTTTGCTCCCTGCTTAGGCAAGAGAGGCCTAAGGGTTATCATTTGGCAGTCAAAATACAATATCTAGTTTTCCTCAAGCCGCTGGTCTTGCGCAGCCTTTTTAAAATCTGTCTCTGGCAGGCTACGGAGCAGCGTGAAATAAACTGCAGATTGTGCATCTATCTGTTCTATCACACAGTTTAGATGGGTAATTTGCATCAGCATGATAGCTGCACCAAATCTTATTTCCTAACAAGTGCCACGTAAAAACACAAAGATTAAACCTGTGAATATACGTGCTCCCAAAAAGCCAGTTCAGTGTGAGGTCAAGATTAATCACCGCTTTAACCAGCGCATTGCTGCGGGTGTGCAGAGGAAGGCATCTTTCACACAGGCCTGGGGGAAGGCACGCTCCACCACACGAACACCGCTCACGTTCTCATTTCTGTTGCCTGCGTGAGGTACGCTAAGAAGCAGACGAGCACAGAAAAGTTGAGAAGGGAAAATGTAAAAGATGATTGTCATTACAGGGGAGATGCTCAAAGCTATAAAAAGCTAAACGCTTGGGTCCACCTACTGACTTGAAAAGTTTATCCCAGGGCAATGACACAAGCAAAGGTAGTGGCATTGAACAGCCTCACATTTGGACTGAAGTCTAATTAAATTGATAAATGTCTGTAAATATTACTATGACCAATCATCTGAAAATAGCAAAAAAACCACCTTTTAGAAAGTAAATGTTGATTGCATCAAAGTGTTAATATAAGATAGCAGACAGACAGCTCTGGATACTGCACTGCCCTGAAAAACATAGGTCCCAACACCTGACTTGTCCATTCCCTCAGACAAACTCATCCCAAGGCCTCTAGGATGTAGCGATATGGACCACTGAGCTACGACTGTTTCCCTAAAACTATACCTGAATCAACCCAAACTCCCCTTTACCACCTGGTTGCGCATAAGACCCACACAGCTGGCCCCAGGGCATGTGGCAGGGCCGACAATGGGGTCTCTTCGCCCTGTGGGGCCGAGGCTGCTCTCTCCGAGCGGCCCGCACCCAGCAAACCTCAGGCTGCGCTGAGGCATGTCAACGCCTTCAGCTGCATCCAGGAACGGCTGCCGACGGCAAGACCGGAGCAGAAACACCCCGGAGGAGCGCTGCTCTGCTCACCACCGGCTCTCATTAACACCGGCTGCAGCCTCGTGACACCCCAAACATAAAACAGTGGGAAAGCCCGGCCCCAGCAGGCGTCCACCGAGCAGGACCTTTTGTGGAGAGGGTCCTGACAGAGCAAGGCTCTTATCATGCAACGACAGAAGTAATCTCAGAGTATTTTTAAATAAGGACCCGAAGCAAACAAAGCACAGGACTCAGTAAGATTACAGAACGAACACAGTAAAAGGAGCGTCTAAGATCAGTTCTGCCATATCAAAGAATACACAAGCTCTAAACAGGGGTGGAGGATAATTAGAAGTGTGTATATATATATATACACACCATGTGAAAGTTCAGCTCCTGCTGGGGAGAAGACAAAAGATCAGCTTCCGAATACACAAGCTCTAAACAGGGGTGGAGGCTAATTAGAAGTGTATATATATATATACACACACACCATGTGAAAGTTCAGCTCCTGCTGGGGAGAAGCCAAAAGATCAGCTTCCCGCATCCCATGCCAAGGTCTGTGCAGGCACAGATGAGAGCGAGCCGTCCCCCAGCTTTACGAGCCAGCCAAACTACTTTAAAAACAAAACCAAATCATTTTGCAGGGATCTAAAATCAAACCCTCAAGACAAGGAAAAGATGCTGTGATTTGCTTTCTGAGAGACAAACTCCTACCCAGCCTCACCTTGCAAAACCTGGGCTCCATACACACACGCATCCCCCAGCTTTAAATCGGGGCAGAGGCAGCAGTCAGCCCCAGCCCGGGGGGTAGCCCCAGGGGAGGCGCGGGGCACAGCCGCATCCCCCATCCCTGCAGGGAAAAGGCGAGATACGCTCCAGAAAGGGGAGCTTCGCAACCACAGGCATTTAGCTCAATTTAAATATTTAGTTAATAAAAAAAAAATCTCACCCTTCTGTCTTTTAAAGGGGCTGTGCCATGTACAGGCTGTCGCAGCACACCACGGAAAGGATGTTTTGGGAGCACACAAAGGCTGACGCTGAAAAGCACTTTTTAAAAATCAGGCTCGAAACAGCCTGCCTTCTAACACCCTTACTTTTAAGAGCGGGAAAATGCGGGATTGTTCCTTTTTCCCTCCTTCACAGGGTCAAAAGGGGAGGACAAGGGAACAGGTTTTTCTGTGTTCAGCAGACAAGTTCTCAGGAGGATTTTTTTGCAAGTCTGCTTTCTACCACCGGTGTGAAATAACCGCCGGTAAGCCCACTCCTTTAGTCCACCCCTTCGGAGATAGGTTTATAGAACGCAACGCCACGCTTCTCACAAGGAAACTTCTTCCGTCGCAGATGGGGGGGCAAAGAAGGAGAGCGGAGCCCATCTCTGCAAAGGAAGTACACGAAGACAAGAGAACAAAAACAAATCACGGGCGCCACGAAGAGCCGGCGGGCCCGGCGCTGTGACAAGAAGTCCCACCTGGGGCACAGATGCGCCGCTTAGCCCCCGCCGGCCCCTGGCCGGGGAGCGGGGGACGGGACGGGACAGGGGGGTAGAGGAGGGCACGGCGTGCATCGCGCACCCCGCGCACGCCCGCCGGCATTGCACACCCACGCGCAACGCCCGCGCACAGGCGTTGCACGCACACGCACACACACACACACACACAGAGAAGCGCTGCGCGTCGCCCGGGAGCGTTGCACACACAACGCTTTGCACGCCCGGCGCGCTGGGCACGCAGAGACACACACACACACACACACCACCCACACGCACGCACACAATGCACCGCCCGCAGGATGCGCTGCGCGCGGGCGCGCGCGCTTCGCACACACTCGTGCAATGCACACGCACTCTGCACGCACTCGCGCAATGCACGCGCGCCCGCACATGCGTTACACGCTGATGCTGTGCGCGCGCCGTACAGGCAACGGTGCGCTGCGCACACACGGACTTCACACTCGCGCGCTGCACTGCACGGGAGCGCACCGCACACACACGCCCACACCCCCCCACACACCCCCCGGT